GAGTGTGAGTGTGTGTGTGATGACCTGTTGACCTGTTGACCTTTGACCTGTTGACCTTTGACCCCTGCAGTGACTGAGGACGATGTGAAGAGGCTCATAGAGTTCAGAGCGTCCAACGAGGTTCTGTTCACCGGGAAGAGGAACTCTGCCAAGATAGCGTGGAGGTACGGACCAAAGCTGCTGTAAGTCTGCTCTGACGCTGACCTCTGACCTCTGACCTCTGACCCCACCCTGTCCCCCCCTCAGCACCATCCTTAAAGGTCTGGGTCTCGAAGGGAAGCTGACTGCAGACCAGATCGCCAAGAAGTGGGACAACCTGCGCACGAAGTACAAGGTGAGTCCGACAGGTGAGCGCTGATACGACCAGAACCGAACTGTGTTAACGGATCCAACCTGAGTCTGACCCGTCAGTTCTCCGCCGGTCTTCAGATTTAGTTCAGGACTTTGTTGTCGATGGGTTTCGGGGCTGCAGGTGTCTGTAAGTGTGGTGGTGTCTTCCAGGACCTGAAGCAGCCCTACCAGGGTCAAGACGGCATCGGGGGGGTGGTGGAGTCGTGGCCCTGGTTCCACATCATGGATGAAGCCATGCAGGGTCGCCTCTACAACAGCAACCTGGTCCTGAGCCCCGAGAGCGCCGGCCACGCCGCTCACCGCTGCAGCAGCCAGCAGAACCAGAACCAGAACCAGAACCAGGAGAACACCGACATCCTGGAGTTCCTCATCAAGACGGAGATGGAGGACACGGTGGCGGCGGAAACCGCTGAGGATGATGGGACAGTTCCCACAGAGGCTCCTCCTACTGAGGGAGTCCCGATGGGCTGGAGGAGGATGACCGAGTGCTCCTATAAAAGTAGGCGGAGTCAAAGTGCACCAGAGTATTCAAGTGTAATGAAGAGTTGTTTACGATGCTGAGAGTCTCCGGAGCTTTAAGAGTCACATTCATGCTGTTGTAGACTAACGGCGACGTAGCAGAGTGGAGACGTTAACTGAGCCCAGATCAGCCAACAGCAGAACTCAGCCGGTTCCAACCAGCAGAGGGCGCTCACTGTGTATTTATAGCTTTATGAGGCAGCAGAAACAAGAGGTTTGGGGGTTTAGTCGTTCTTTAGTTCAGGACGTCAGCCTGTCATGGAAACGCTGGAAATAAATTAAAATGACCTGAAATCCTGGAAACAATCTGCGTTGTCCTGGAACTGATGATGGACACATGGCTGTCTTTAGTTTGCTGCGGCCTGCTGTGGTTCATAAAGAGTATAACAGTGGTGCAACCATGTCAATAAAACAAATCCTGATTGGAGGTTAATGTTTCGTCAGTGTAAACTAACTGTGGTCACACTGACCTGTAATGAACCCGAGAGTCTTCATCACAAACCTGCATCGTTAAACACGGAGGAATAAAACGAGTTAAATGTGTCTACAGAATAAATCCGTTATCTGACTGTAAAATAGTTCTGACTGTTGTTCTCAGTGACGGAACCAGAAACGGAGAGAATGATCAAACTTCGAGCCGCCAACGAAGCACTCTTCACCGGCAGGAAACATTCAGCCAAACCGGCCTGGAGGTGAGTTTGTTACCGGGTCCACAGTTTCCTGTCGGTCATATCTGAAATGTCTCTAAAATCTTTTTGAGTTGTGCAGTTAATTATGTTTTAGTTTTAATCTTTAAATGATAAAATCTTTGTTTGATGGCAAATGAAATAACTCCATCGGTCCATTAACAGTCAGAATCTGGTTTGGTGTTCAAACGTTTATTTTATTGTGTAGAACTCTTCATCATGAGAGCTAAACTGATAATTACACCAACAGATCAGAGTCATTTCTCAATAAATCAATAACATCATAATGAATTTTAAAAGAACCAATAAATGCTGACTCGTGAAAGGTCCAAAGACCTGGTTCCTTCAGGAGGGTCTAATCCTGCGTCTCCGTTCTTGCAGAGCCATTCTGTACGAGCTGGGTCTTCAGGGGAAGCTGACCACGGATCAGTTAGCAAAGAAGTGGGACAACCTGAAGAGGAGATACAAGGTAGGTCGGGGCACCTCCAACTCCAGAGACCACCTATCCGTCACTCGCAGAGACGACCCTGCGGGTGACGGATAACAGGAGTTGGTGGCAGTGACAGGAGGGTACGGTCCCTCTGTGGACGATCTGTAGAGCTTTCTGTCTCTACCAGGAGCTGAAGTTTCCTGCTCGAGGCGTGGAGACAAACCCGAGCTCCTGGCCCTGGTTCTACCGAATGAACGACGCCATGGAGGGGCGTTTCGCGGGGGCGGCGCCAATCCTCACGCCTATCGTGGAGGACGAAGACGAGGACTGCGAGCCGCTGTCGCCCACGCCCAAGAAACGAGCCCGCCGGAGCCGAGGGGGGATGGCCGAGTTCCTGACGGAGTCGGAGATGGACCTGCTGGTTGATAACGAGGAGAAGAACGGATCCTCGGCGCTGGGAGAGCTGCACCGGATGGCCGAGTTCACCTACAAATGTAAGAAAACCAACATGGATCTGAACTGCTGAGATGCATTGTGGGTAATGTAGGTGCCGGGTTTTGAAAAGGAAGAATGTGTGGAATAAAAAATGTGTTTTCATTGTATGTCTCTCTCTTCAGAGCCACCACACTCCTTTAATACACACAGAAGAGTTTCTGCTCTGCCTTGAGTTTTTTCTTTACATTGATTTACTTTTGAGCTCTTTTCTTTACTTCAAGGTTATGAAACAGTCTCAGTTTAGTATGGATGCCTCTGTATGACCTGCATAAACAAACAAGACCTGCAGAGAGAAGATCGAATAATTCTCCACAGGGGGCGCCAGAATCACGTTTCCTTGTAGCTGCTTGAAGTAAAAGTACTAAAACCTCAGTATAAAGTACTAAAACCTCAGTATAAAACCACAGTAGTATAAAGTACTAAAACCTCAGTATAAAACCTCAGTAGTATAAAGTACTAATACCGCAGTATAAAGTACTAAAACCACAGTATAAAACCACAGTAGTATAAAGTACTCTTTGTGTTCTGATGTTTGATCTCAGTCAGACTGAAACGAACATCACAGATCCACATTACCGACCTGCTGAAGGTTGTCAAACAGCTTCCTCTCGTACCGTCCACAGTGGTTCAGCTCTGTTCTTCTATAATTTATAACTGATTTTTGACCTTTCACCCTCAGTGACAGAGGAAGACACCAGGCGACTAATTGAGTTACGAGCCGCTAACGAGTCTCTGTTTACGGGGAGGAGGAACACGGCCAAACCGGCCTGGAGGTAAACATCTCAGCACTGAAATAAAGCAGCTGTAGATCCTTCAGGAGAGGTTTTATGTCCCTGATCGGGTTTGTTTGGTCCACAGGGGGATCGTGAAGGAGATGGGTCTGACGGGGAAGATAACACCTGACCAGGTCGCCAAGAAGTGGGACAACCTGAAGACCAAGTTCAAGGTGACTCATCAGTCCTCAGTGTGTGTGAGCAGATATTCACCCTTTAATCTGCGTTAGCAAAGCCCTGCTCAACCAAACTCCATTCAGAAAACAAGTGTTTTAACGGATGTTTATTTGCTGACCGAGCCGACAAAGTGTGAATCCAGACTGTTTATAATCAGCATCATGATGTAGTTTAATGACATTAAATCACAGAAATATCTGATTATTTCAGGCTCATATCACCACAGTGAGACTGATTAATATGACTTATATGAATGAATGATTCATGTGAATAACACCATAATAATCGATTATCTGTCTCATTGATTAATAATCTGTATCTGAATCTGCCCTGAAACAACAGATCTCTCCTCCGTTAATAGATGAATGTGTGTGTGTGTGTGTCTGCAGGACCTGAAGTTCCCTCCTCGGGGGATGGAGGGCCAGACGAACCCGGCCTCCTGGCCCTGGTTCCAGCTGATGAGCGACGCTCTGGAGGGACGGCTGGCGGGGAAAGCTCCCCGAGTGACGCCCGTGTGGAGCAGCGAGGAGGACGGCGTCTTCGGCTCATCCCCGCCTCCCGACAGAGACTGCCTGATGGCGGAGAGGAGCAGCGTGTCGGAGCTGGAGAGCATGGTGGGCGGAGACAACGCCGAGGCCGACGGGAATGTCACCTACATCGACGCCAGCGGGGAGGAGTGTTCCACGCCCTCGGACCTCTCGTATAAAAGTAAGACGGGTTGTTCTGGGTTTGTTATTATTTATGTGTTTGTGGAAGATATTTATTCATACTGTTAGAACGTAGACCAAACTGTGCCGCTCTGTGCCGCAGTGACGGACCAGGACACCAGGAGGATGATTAAACTTCGAGCTGCCAACGAGGCGTTGTTCACCGGGAGGAGGAACGCCGCCAAAGCCGCCTGGAAGTAAGATACTATCAGTTCTATGTGTGTGATACCAGCTGTTCCTGGAGATCTGGCGTCTCATTGGTCGATGTGAATGTGTCCTGACTGTCTCTCAGAGCCATCCTGAAGGAGCTCGGGCTGCAGGGGAAAGTCTCCACCTACCAGATGGCAAAGAAATGGGACAATCTGAAGAGGAGATACAAGGTAGTGTTATCTGACAACATCAGCTCTCACTGAGCGATCACACTCAAACCAGCTCGCTCTCATTGGCGTCACACAGACAGACAGATAAGAGATAGAAAGATAGATATGATAGATAAGATAGATAATAGAATAGATATAGGTATATCTATCCTATCTATCTATCTATCTATCTATTCTATCTATCTATCTATCACACATACATACGGTGAATGAAGCAGTATCTGTCCACAACCAGTGAACCTGCTCCACCTGTCATCTCAGTGAAAGAGGCAATTACAATGATGAGAAGCGTCGATCAGGCTTTTTAAACCTGATCAGGTTATCAGCTGTGTTTCTGTTACATCATACAGCTTCATCACTCGTGTGTGTGTGTGTGTGGTGTGGTGTGTGTGTGAGTGAGAAGATCAGTGAGTGTAATCCCTTTTTTTGGGGGGGCCCCCACAAAAAGAACCACTGAGCAGAGTACAGTTCAGTCAGTGAGTCTGTAGCTGCACTGAAAGCAGCAGACTGCCAGAGGTTAGTTAGTGACATACGATCTATTGAATCCGACGGGACTCGGTACCATATCTCTATATTTCTATTCTAATATGGAACCCCTGGTCTGCCTAAGTCTGATACAGGTTGTCTGACAGTATTTAGTTTGGATTAATGTGAGTAATTGATTAGTGATCAGGGCTGATCAGGAGTCTTGTTGGGGAACTCTTTCAGCGGTGGAAATTGATCCTCAGTTTGTTGTCCTCTGCAGGATCTGAAGTACGCCTCCTGTGCGGAATGGAGAGCGCCGCAGACGGCAGCATCCTCTGGCCCCGTGGTTTCACCTGAATGAACGAAGCCATGGAGGGCCGAACTGGCGAGGCAGCGCCCCCCCTCCTCACCCCGTACACAGGACGAGGAGAGCAACCCGACCAACTCCCAGCACCACCGGTCCGCCCCTCCCATCCTCTCCCTCGTCCTCCGCCATGAGGACTAACGGACAGGAGGCTTTCGGCGCTCCGGCCACCGCCCGAGCAGAACGCAGCGGAGCTCGGAGTCCGTGCAACGGGCCGCTGTGGCAGGACTGGACAGGGAGTGGCAGTTGGTTTGGAGCAGGGAGAGGGAAGACCGCTGGCAGCGAGAGAGGGAGATGATGGAGAGAGACCAGGGGCGGTCTGTGGGAGAGAGAGCGGGCCGGCGGTGCAGGCGGAGAGGCTGGTGGCTGGAGCGGGAGAGGCGGCGGTTGGAGCAGGGACAGGAGCCATGGTGGGCAGGAGAGAGCCACCGGCTGGGCAGAGAGAGGGAAGGTGCTGGACCAAGAGAGCCTTGAATGCTGAACTCTGTAAGGACACTCCGGCACACC